CTGATGAGGAACAGGGAAAAGGGATGGGAGGGAGGGGGGGGCAGAATTGGAGGGAACATCCCACATCTACTGTACGGAGAACCCAGCGTTCTGAGGTTATCTGGGCCCACGCAGGATACAAGTGGGATAGACTGTTCAGAAAACAGGGAGAAGGATCCGGTGACTGGACTGGTGCATTGCCTGCAGGCACACCATCAAAAAGGCATGCCTGGAACCAGAGGACTGCCTCACTGAGCCCTGGCCTTGATTAGACGGAGGCTGGGGAGGTCTGTGTCTGTTATTAAATAAAATAAATATATGGAGATATACCAATCTCACAGAACTGGAAGGGACCTTGAAAGGTCATCAAGTCCAGCCCCCTGCTTTCACTAGCAGGACCAAGTACTGATTTTGCCCCAGATCCGTAAGTGGCCCCCTCAAGGATTGAACTCATAACCCTGGGTTTAGCAGGCAATGCTTAAACCACTGAGCTATTCCTTCTCTGCTTCCTGGAGAAGTCCTGCCTAGGGTGGGGAGGATAGGAATGTGGGGGAGGTTGGGCCTTAAAATGCATTCTCTGGGTAGCAGGAGTATGCAGTCCCAGGGATTTAAGTGTTGCCCTTGCATCCTTTAGGCTATGGAGTTTGGAGTCCGCCTGTTCAGAAAACAACCCCGAGCCATCAAAGGACAGGTCTTGGATTGTCTGGTGAACCTCTGGGGGGAGGCACGACACCCAAAGCCACAAACTTCTCCTCCTGGCAATGGCGGAGGACATGATTCGCGTGGTTGAGTCCGCTTCATACAGGGAGGCCTGCAATGAGGTCCTTGCCCTTCTCTCCTCCATCACAGCTGCAAACTCTGTTCTAGAGTCTGCAGGGATCAGCTCCTTAAACTTCGGGTGGAGAAGGGGCATGCCCTTCTGAAGCGACAGACTGGGAGCCCCTGGAATAGGTACCCTGGGCCTGATGGTATGCCCATGGGGTCCAGACTGGCCACTGCATGGACCTCTGCCACTGCACCGGCCACAGTACCATGGGGAGGCTTGACCTGCCTACAGCAGCACCATTCCAACCAGTGCCGGCTGCACCTTGAGTATTAAGACTCTGCCTCGGAGTCCAATGACTCTGACTCCAAGAGCAGAGACCACGGCAGTGCCGAGTGGGACGGTCCTGGGGGGTGGGGGAGGGGAGAGAAAGGCGAACGGTGCTCCATCATTGCTGGCTTGCCTCTTGACTGCGCTGTACCTTGTGGTGCCAGAGGTCTGTCTCACCTGGAAGGGGACTGTGGTGCCATCATCGCAAATCGGATCCCTGGCTACCTTGAATGTGTCTGGGGTGGAAGGGAGCTCCAACTCCTCCACCTGGCACTCCCCAAAAGGAGAGTCCACTGGCGCCAAACTCTATGGACCCCTATGCGGGCCTGAAGTTGACTGTGCCGTTTCCTGTGAGACAGGCGCCAGGTAACCCTGCACGGGAAGCACACCGCTAGTGTTGTCAGTCCCAGCTGCTCTCACCAGGGGCAAGCGCCCTCTATCGTTCTTCTTGTGAGGCACTGGTGAATGCCATGCTGCCGCCGGGGAGTGACAGTGCTGAGAGTCTCTATGTGTAGAGTCCTTCCCCAGTGCCATAACCACTCTAACAGAGGCCAATGCATTAGGCACAGAGGTGCTGGGTGCCATGTCCTGCTGGCCTGGAGCTGATTGGGGACAGAGGGCGGACTCCACGTTGAGTTGCTTGAGCCTTTCTTTTTCATTTGTAGGGTGGAATCCTTTGCAGATCCTGCAATGATCTGTTTGATGGGATTCCCCCAGGCACTTTAGGCAGGAGTCGTGGGGATCACCCTTTGGCATGGGTTTGTGGCAGGTCCCGCACTGTTTAAACTCTTGGGATTGAGACATATCCTGAACTCCAAGAAGGGAGACAAATCGGAGCCCCCCCCCCCCAAACATGAACTAACTATAACTAATACTAAACTATTTAACGATTTACAGGTTTGGATATAAGAGAAATCACTAGGGGACTGCTTGCTGAAGCAAGAGTGACACTCAGCTCCAATGACTGTCATTGGTGGTAAGAAGGAGCTGAGAATGTGGAGGGTGGGCAGGGACTTGTATGCGGCACCATGAAGGAGCAACTTCAGGGGTTGCCTCAGCTGACCTGATGGGTACCTTCTGACGACTCTGCACATGGCATGCGCACACCTACTTAGAATTGACAAGAACAGCACTTGAACAACAAACATTTTTGGTTAGTTACACTGTTCTTGAGGGTTTAAGATGGCTTACTTTTTAAATATATGTACTCAACCTTACTGATGTTTTGTATTTGGGAATATATATTTAAAAGAACAACCCACACCACACTAGCCTCCCAACCCCACTACTAAGAGATTTGCAGCTAGAGATCACCTTATAGGATTTAGAACGGGCAAGCTCCTAATACAAATCATTTTTCAAATTTCTGTGCACAGAGGTAAGTGCAAGACATCCTTATCTCTATAAACACAGAGTCAAAACTTGGGGGGAAGGATAGCTCAGTGGTTTGAGCATTGGCCTGCTAAACCCAGGGTTGTGAATTCAATCCTTGAGGGGGCCATTTAGAGATCTGGGGCAAAAAATTGGTCCTGCTAGTGAAGGCAGGGGACTGGACTCGATGACCTTTCAAGGTCCTTTCCAGTTCTACGAGATAGGTATATCTCCATATATTCCACTCAGGTATGGTATCTCCTGTTAGCTACAGAAATAGCATCAAAACTTCTTTAAGAAAAGGAACTCGTGTTTAAGCATTGAGGAAAAGGACAACAGGTCCCTACCTTCTGCATGCTGAGTGCAAATTCTGACTTTACCTACCCTAAATTTAACTAAGTTATTAAGATTCTCACCAGAGGGTGCAAAATGTTTCCAATACGCAATTTCAAAGCTTAACTACGACCTTTCTAAAACATTTTATTTTGTACCCTTGACTAGAATATACATATAAAATGCAAAAAATAAACAAGTAGATTACTAAATGGATCTAGTTTAACAAGACTAAATATTTTATGATTTAATAGTACAGATAATTTAGGTGAAACTGTAATTTGTATTAGGATAAATGTTCATTTACTCAAACAGGAATGTCAATAGATCATTGTCAAACAATTCAGCTAGATAACATATAATGTATTAGTTATCTAGAAACACCACGCACATAGCAGCTGCATCACCTATAATACAACCATATGTACACATACAATAGGAATTTATAGGCTTTTCCACTGCCCAACTCTCATATCTTATTGACGTGATAGTCTCTATGCCGGGCACTTCCTGGGAATTAATCCTCAGCTCAGGTTAAGGTCATCACCTCCTCCAGATAGCTATTTATCCCCAGGAAATGCCCTGTATGATTATTATATAAATAATGGAAGCCACTTTTTATGTAAGACTTACCTTCGGCTTTTCAATACTTAAATCAGAGGTAGTCAATTATTTTTTGTCAAGGTCCAAATTTCTTGGTCAAAGGTATAGTCAAGGTCCAGGCTCCAGAGAAAATAATAAATAATAATAAACCAACACTAGTGATAAGTAAATGAAAAGATTTCGGGGTCTATTCAAAAGCGTCTGGCAGTCAGGATTTGGCCCACAGTCTGCCTATTAACTACCCCTGACGTAAATGAAACGGAAAGGAGGAAAATAAAGCAGAACTATTCCTTTGTAAGAGGCAGCAGCTAGATTATAATTTTAGTCAGAACTGCAGCCATAAGTAAGGCTACGATTATATCACGAAGTCATGGAATCTGTGACTTCCATTGACCTCTGTGACATTTTCTGCCCTAGGGCTGGAGCTCCCAGCCACCCTCCACCCTGGTAGGGACCCCCCGCAGCTGCCCAGCATGCAGTGGGGGGACCCCCTGCATTTGCCTGGCCGCAACGGGAGGAACCTGCAGCTCCCAGCTGCCCCGGGGACAAGGGGACTCCGCAGCAGCCCAGCCCTGCAGGCAGGGGATCCTGGAGCCTCCATCCACTGCAGAGGTGGGGGACCCGGGAGCCCCAGCAGCAGTGGGTGCCAAACCCACCTACCCCTTTTGTCAGGGATATTTTTAGTGGAAGTCAGGGACAGGTCACAGGCAATAAACAGAAATTCACAGAGGCCTGTGACTTGTCCCTGACTTCCACTAAAAATATCCCTGACAAAAACTTAGCCTTAGCTATAAAGGATGATGTCTATCCTTCTGAAATTTTTCATTTTCTTTAAAGTAGCACAGATTCATAAGCGCTATTCATTAATAATGGAAGTTGAGATACCTTCCAGAAACTTTACTGTTTAATCCACAGTATCAAAAAATTCTGGAGAACCACCTGTTAACTTGTGCATTTGCACTTAACATATGGCATTTCAGTTTCTGTGCTGTGTCCCCAAGTACTATTCTTCACTCCCAAATTTTAAATTTTCCCATGACAACTCCTCAATGGACTAAAGTTATTTTTGTTGCTACAAGCATGTTCACCTTTTAACCAGTGACTTTGCCACCTTTTTAAAAAGCCTGTTACATTCACCCCTTTTTTCATTAGTTTGTTCTCTTCCAATTTACTTAATTGCCACAACTTTTCACATGTTCCATGATACCAACAGTGACAATTATGGGTCACATCCAATAAATCTGACTTGCACTTCAGCATTACTGTTTTAGTTAGCAACACAAACCACAGACTCAACAAGATAGATACGAGGATAATCTATTTGCTATCTCACGCAGTAGAGCCATGAAGGGAAAAGAACCACCAGTTCAGAACCTCAGTTATGATGGATATCATCCTAGTTGAAAATGTTACGTATCAAGCCAAATCTATTCAAATTTGCAGGGAGAGATTGGGGTTTTTTCCACCACCAATATTTAAGAGAATAAAAAAGTTCTTGCTTTTTCCACTTCCTGGCTTTTACATATCAGAATTTAACTATAACATGAGTAGCCCAAAACTTTAACAAGATACATACCCAGAGACTCACTGACAGAACTCTTGGTTTTCTTTTTGGTTTCAGGTAAAGTCTGATAGGGTCTTTGTCCCACTGGCTCATCTCCTTGAATAGCTGTTAAGTCATGCATACTGAAACTTCTCAACCGTTCAGTTATTGCACCTTGACCCTGGAACACAATAATAGCACTTTTCAAGAACAAATGGAGAAGCCTTTAGATTTGCTCTTCAAATTGAGGTAAGGTTAAGTACATGCTTTCTTGCTGTATTACAAAATTCTCTTAACAGAGACATGCAGTAGATGTTCATTTGTTTTAAGCAGCATTCATGTTTGTGTTTTTTCCTCATGTAAATACTGACATACTATGGAGACATGGAATATTCAAGACTATCAACTTTATAAATGTTACATGTGTCTTTATGGGATTGTATTCTGGCTCCATTGGAAAGTTACAGGAGCTTCCTGCAGGAACTAAAGTCACAGGGCAAATCCTTAGACAAGGAACAAGTCTGGAGAAGCTTTACCCTCCGAGAAGATCGTATATACTGGCATGACCTCATTAAACAGGCTGGCAAAGAAAGAACAAAAAAAACTATACATGTGACCACCTTAACATGGTGAGAGAGGTCATTCCCCTTGATCCAAGAAGTGACAGACTTCAGACTGAGCCCAGAGGGGCAGGCCCTCTGAGAGGACCTGAAGTACTTTAAAATCTGCGAAGGTCCCCATGTGGAAGATAGGTGACACCTGGTAAACCAGACATGCATGTAAGCAGTTTGTTGTTTTTAAGATGTGTTCTCTACAATGCTTTTGTTCCAAATAAATACTTTGCTTTACGAAGGTTGGCTGGTCACAGATTAACTCTAGTTGCGCCTGAGAGAACAGGACTAAGTGCTAAAACTAAATTCAGACTTGCTGAGATGATCACAGTGAATTAAAGAATTGCAGCCTAAATCCCACAGAGAATTGTGGGACTCTGCCCTGAGAAACAGGATGGCTAGAGGCCTGATGCCTAGTGGGGTACCCTGAAGGAGGCCACAAAGGGGTCAGAGGTGCAGTTACCCTGAGAACTGTGACAAGGAGCATTTTGGATTATACCTTGTAAAAGGAATTTTTAAAAATCATGAATTAAGTTAGTAGTTCCAATTCCTAATGCTTTTGGACACTGCTTATATTTCTTTCTGATTTATTTATTCCTTATTCTAGGTGGATTGAAGAGATTTTCCCCGAAAAAGTTTTTAATGCCTGATCCATCAGACAATGCATCACCTAGTACCACTTTTCAAACATCTGACTGTAGTAGTAATAGCCCTTTTAATTAAATTACCAAAATATATTACATAAAGATGTACACATACTTGTTTCTCCACAGTATGAAAAGTATTTAAAAATAGAAGATCAATCAATAAACATGCTGATAAGATACTATACTTTTGTCCTACATACTGTGACAGACCCAGACCAGTGGGGTACAGGAGTCTGGTAGAGGGCAAATATACTGGTCACTGGATGAGTAGTTTTCTGTTCCCTGAGTGACCAGAGCAGAGGCTGCACTAGAGTAATCAGGAACCTGCTAGAACCAGTTATGGCAGGCAGGCTAATCAGAGCACCTGGGTTTTAAAAAGGAGCTCACTTCAGTTTGTGGTGGGAGTGTGAGGAGCTGGGAGCAAGAGGCGCAAGGAGCTGAGAGTGAGAGGGTGTGCTGCTGGAGGACTGAGGAGCACAAGCGTTATCAGACACCAGGAGAAAGGTCCTGTGGTGAGAATAAGGAAGGTGTTTGGAGGAGGCCATGGGGAAGTAGCCCAGGGAGTTGTAGCTGTCATGCAGCTGTTACAGGAGGCGCTATAGACAGCTGCAGTCCACAGGGCTCTGGGCTGGAACCCGGAGTAGAGGGCGGGCCCGGGTTCCCCCCAAACCTCCCAATTGACCTGGACTGTGGGTTCTCCCAGAGGGGAAGGTCTCTGGGCTGTTCCCCAACCCACATGGTGAATCTCTGAGGCAAGAAAATCCGCCAATAAGCGCAGGACCCACCAAGATAGAGGAGCAACTTTGTCACAATACACAGTAGTGTGTTTTGCCTCAGGTCACTGTTGTGTCTGTGCATTGCAATACAATCTGCATGCAGTGAACGAGGCAAAGGAGATATATTTTTATCATTGATCAATAAGTATACCCCAGCTTCAATCACTACACAATATCCAATCTTTGCAGCGAGGGACCCAAAATGAAGAACAGACCCACACGAACACCCATTTACAATTTAACTCTTTCACTGAGCATTACCTAATTATTTCTGTGGAACTAATATAATATAATATATATGACAATGAAATAGACTACTGTAATGCACATGCACAGAGAAGAATTAGAGTTGCAGTCCTAGTATTTAATGTTTCCCAATTTTAGTAATCTACTGTGCAGCTATATTCTTCAGTGTAGATTTTGGATAGAACTTTTAAGTTTGTTTTCAAGAGAACATAGAAAAAGAAGAAGTGTTTGGCAGAGAGGAGGGTAATGCTATGTCCTATGAAAGCTGTGCATTCAGTGAGGCAAGGGCTCTTGTGGAGCACTGCCTCATTCAATGTGCATATAAAAGATGATACAGAATAGTTCCATCAGGGCTCTTTCATCCCATATATACCCTCCAAGATTGAAAAAGTCAATCAACTTTGTTATGCAGATAGCAAATAAAACATTGGAATTTTTTTTTTTTAAATGAAAAGGTCTTGCACATCCTTAATTACATTTTACGGAACACAGAGGATGAAACTGGAATAACTTTCATATACTATTGGAGAGCAGTGATTGTGACTTTCTACACACATTCACGGTGTGCAGCGCAACAGGTCCCTATCCTGACTGGGGCCTCTAGGTGCTGCTGCTAATGAACAGTAATGAAGGAGCTACTGAAGAAACAATTCCGTGGCAGACCATCTAGCAGACCAATATTATTCTTCATAATATCATACAATGGAACCCAAAATGTCAGTCAAAAAAGCCACTTCTAATGACTAGAATTTAAGGGTCACAAAATGATGAAAGATATTTAATAGAAAAATATCTTTTAAAATGATGCATTCATCAGGATCAAGACTTTTCTCACTCTCCAGCTCGAATTTCCACAGGAACATTAGTTTACTACAGGATGAAATACCCTTAAATCCAATTCTCAACTTCACACACTCCTCACTCCTCTGACTTAGCTGATAATTTGTTAAACTCTCATAATAATAAATAATAAAATTATTTTCCAGCATGGTACTTCCCACTACGCTGCCCAAAAAGCATAACACCCCTCTTCAGGTCTCAGACCACATGATTTTTTAACAGTGGCCTGGTTAAGATCATCCTTCCCCTAATGTATTCAAAGGCAACAGGGATCCTTTAACCAGCTCCAGGAGCGGAGTTCCCTGAGCATCTGCTGCTGTGGTGTTTTCTAGGCTTTTCCCGTTTGCCTGTCTTCACCTCTGACTCCTCCTGCTCCCTAGTTCTGGCTCTCTGACTCCCTGGTGCTTGGCTCCATGGAACACTGCAGGGAGAATATACTGTAATTAACACCCCATTACATGGAAAGTTGGAGAGGAAGAGGCAGCTGCAGGCAAATCCTGGCACGCCAGGGAAACAAAGCAAAATTTTATCTGCAGCAAACTGATGTATTCCACAGTAAAAGTGCTACAGTGTGAAGTCCATGGTATCTTGGAAAAATGCCAAATTCTGCAACTTCAGAATCCATGAGCTCCTGATTGAGATGAATGGAGTAGTTCACATCTCTCACAGATACTGTTGCAGACTCTCTACAGACACAGGCAAATACTGCTGCATCAGTTTACACTGCACATGTTTCAAGGCTACTGGAGGAATGGAAACGACCACAAAGTAATAATGTAATACTGCAGGTGGTCATTTTATCTTTTCAGAGTGCACAGTGTGGCAAATTAAAATAGGAGTGTTCTCCTCAAACTGCAATACTAACCTTCTTTTAAAAAGAAGGAGTTCACATTAGTTAAAAATGGCTACTTTTGATATTCCCTCCCAGCCCCCCATTCCCACTCTGATATTTAGGGCATACTACCATAGGAATATATTTTGTTTACAATTGTTATGGCTTCAGGCATGTAGCATTAATAACTTTAAATGATTAATACATGAGAAAAAACAACCAACCACCACCAATATGAAACTGATGTCCACCAAACATAAGCTCACCATGCACTTTTCTTTATAATTACAATGATCTTTTGAAGCACCACTTCAGAAAAATCTCACTAAAAATAAAAGTTTGGATATTTTTTCCAAGTCTTGTTTAAAAATAAATCCTTACACAAAAGATTTTTTTTTAATTATAACATTTTAAAAGGTAGACAACTGTTTATACAAACTCTACAATAGTATGAATTACAATACTCACCAATTTATTTGTATTATAAGTTATATTTAGGTAATAAGACGTAAGGTGTGTTAGATGTTGGGACAGCAACAGGCTAGTTTTTTGCTGGGCTGACTGGCATCACACCAGAGACTGCTGAATCAATTTATCACATCTTAATGATACAGGTGAATATTTTGGTTTATAGATATAACATTCTACATTTCAGACCAAGGAAAATGTTTTGTAATTAATATTCCAATGGAAACTTTAAAACATATTCCGTGTAGTGTCTGAACATCCCTAACAGTGCAACATGCACTAGTGTATGAAAACCAGAAAGTGAAACTGCTTACATTGTTGTCGAGAAATATCAAAATCTGAACAATCTGAGATGTTATTAATAAAAAAAAGACAGATGTCTTTAAAATGGTAATGTGAAAATATTCCTTTTATGGAAGTCTGTTAAATTTTCTTCATTGGATCCAAAAGCCCAATTAATCTTTAGTAAAGATTAAACTATACTAGTCAGTTCAACCTCTTCAATCTTCTATGTTAATCAAAACACATCTTTCAAGCGTACAAGTTGTTTCCAGACTTATTTCACTAATTGTAAGTGGAGAGCTTTCTTGGCTGACTTCATTAGTGGCTTTTCAATCAAATATTTTGGGAAACCCCCTTCAGTAATTTCAGTTAAGTTGCAGGCAACCATGAATATGTACAAGTTATTAAAATGACATTGCGTTTTATTCAGCTCTACGATTTCATATAAAAACACTACTCAAAGCAAGAATATGCAGATCAGACAACTATGATGCAAGCTTTCATGTAGTGCATTACTTTAAAAATTTGATCTGAAATCACAAACTAGGAATTAATCACATAAATCAGCTTTTATCTGTGGTAGTAATATTTCATGCCTTATTTTGCAGATGTAGTTACCTCAACTTGATTGAAGGAAGACAGCAGAAAGAAGCCAGAAATCCTGTAAACAGTGTGATTACCAGCAAGAAAATGCAACAAAGACAGAAAAAAAGAATGTTGATCTTTCACTAGTAGCTTGAACGTAACATTGTAGTCTATATTTTAATTTACCACTCAACTGATAGCCATAATCCAAAAATTTACATGCTATTTTAAAACTAACAGACATAGTATAAAAATACTCACAAAATTGCAATCCTTAAATTACATCCCCCTATTTTTAAACATGTTACTTTTAGAATGAATTCTTTGAGTTAAGATGGGTAAATACCCAATACCACTTTGCTTTTTTGTCCATAATATTTACCCTGAACAGTTTAATGTAAGTGAAATTTACCTTTGCAGCAGCAGTCACTGCAGCAGTAGCTGCCAAATTTAAACCCTGTCTCCCAAAATTCACCATAGTTTCATAACCTCGTTCTTTGGCTTGTACAATATACTCATCGATCTCCTAAAAAACAAAAACAGAATACATATTTAAATTTGCACACAAAATCCCTAAAAGTCATGAAGCTGTATTACCCCATAGCATTATTTTATCATCAAAATTTGGATGGAAGACTTGAAGGTAAAATATATTTATATTTCAACTTATATTAAGTGTATTAGCCTACGTCTACACTAAAGACCTTACAGCAGGACAGCTGTACCGATGCAGCTGCACCACTGTAAGCTCTCTCATGTAGCCGCTCTATGCCAACAGGAGAGAGCTCTCCTGTCAACATAATTAAACCACCCTTAATGGGAAGCGGTAGTTATGTCGGCAGAAGAAGTGCTGTTCACGCTACCACATATGCCAGTGAAACTTGTCATTCAGGGAAGTGTTTTTTCACCTAAGCAACATAAGTTTCACTGGCATATGTGGTAGTGTAGACATGGCCTCAGTTAATGTATTAACGTTTTAAGCACAAAAAATATTTAATTCTTGCATTTAATGCCAAACTTTGAAAATAATCATTTCTTACTCGTTCCTTTGAAGAAAGAAGAGGATGGAGAAACTTCCTATACATTAAACTTGCCCCTCTAGTATATGGAGAGAGCAGCCAAATAACAAAAGCGATCTTCAACTCATAATACAATGGAAACCTGCAGATAAAACATTATGCAAGTACTATGATAAGAAGGTAGATGTTAATTAACTACCAAAAACAAAACTTTGCAAAAAAAAACCAAACTGGTTACACATTTTTTACAACAAAATGTTACACTATCTTTTCATCTAAGGTTAATAATATCAATATTGATTAAAAATTAACTATTTAATAGATGCATATCTGTTTCATTGACTTATTTGGTTTTCATTTAATGTAATACCATCAAAAGCAGAAAGGGTAAGAGATTTAAATAAAATCTTTCCATGTTTTCTTGCATTATACTATTTTATTTAAGACACCAGATTCCTTTTGCATGAGTTTTACAACTCCATTCTCTTCTCTTGTGCTTTACTGCATGGGTAGCATTTTTCTATTCCTACTCTTTAAGGAATTAAAAGACACCACAAATTTAGAAATGGGGGACACTATTCATTATGCAAGTTCCTTACAGCCGTTCTTGGAAACGTCACTTATAAATACAAGTTGGTAATTGTATTCTCTTCGCTGAATTAAATCATCAGAAAAAAATTATATCATCCCATGTTCCATATTATGCAAAATCTTACCAAGAGATCATTAGGTCTGCTACTGTCTCAGTAACTGTATAAAGAGCAAACACAATCCAGTACATCATCCATCGAACCTGAGAATGAAAAGACGTTATCTTTAATAGAAAAGTTTTAATTTAAATTTCCACTTCTATAATAAAAAACATTTAATTGCTGTTATAACATAAGAAATTGAGCAGTGTCTTTCCATAGCTCACGTTGAGTGACCTAAAAAAACAACAAACTCGAATTACCAAATGACAAGAACAAGTAGGTTGATTTTGATTTTTTGCTTTGTTTTGCTGTTGTTCTGAGAAGATGGTCTGGAGGCAACTGTCTAAAGCTGCTCAGATCTTCAGTAGTGTGATCCTACCCAACTTGCCTTGACTGACAGGTCTGGTTCTGCTTCCAACTAGCTGCAAACAGGGGGAAAAAACCATTGTATAATTAAGCTGTGGAACGTCTCTACAAAATGGTCATCAAGTGGAAAGTCATACTGTGTCCACTCTCCACCTCAAAAAACTGGTTGTTTTCAAGTCTGATTCCCTATCATTTAGATGCCCTTTTCAAAAAGCAAACCTTTACTAAACAAGAGAGTCCCCAAAAGCCTAAACTAAAAACTTCTCCCCACTACGTGCAGCGAAAAATGATTAATGTTTATTTTCCATCATGGTTCTACAAAATAGCTTCTTCTCCACAAGGCTGTAAGTGGAAGAGAACTCCCATTATGCTGGATAAGACAATATGAAATTAGGATTCTAACTGGTGAAGGACTTGAGGCTCTAACCCAGGGGTGGCCAACCAACAGCTCTGGAGCTGCATGTGGCTCTTCAAAACACAATATGCAGCTCCTTCCAGGAACCAACTCTGGGGGGAGGGGGAAAATGGTGGGTGCTCAGCACCCACCGGCAGCCCCATCAGCTCCCCGCCCCTCCCCCAGTGCCTCCTGCCTCCCCCCCCGCCCAAATCAGCACCTGCTTCTCCCTCCTGCCCACCATGATCAGCTGTTTCGTGGCATTGAGGTGGCTCTGGGAGGGAGGGAGAGGAGCGAGGACATGACGCCCAGCCCCCTTCCCTCCCGCAGCACCTCCCGCCACAATCAGCTGTTTTGCAGCATTGGAAGCGACTCTGGGAGGGAGGGAGGAAGGAAGGAAGGGGGGCTGGGTGCTGCGTCCTCACTCCTCTCCCTACCCCCCCGAGTCGCCTCAACACAGCGGGTGGGAGGAAGGAGAGAGGAACTGGTAAGCAGACCCCTCTTCCCCCCTCCAGCGCCTCCTCCTCAGTCCCCTTGCCTGCTGCCCACCCCAATCAGCTGTTCTGTGCCGGCAAGAGGGAGGGAGAGGGGGAGGAGCTCACTTGGGGAGGGGGCGGAATGAGGTGGGAAGAGGCGGGGTGGGGATTTGGTGAAAGGGGTAGAGTGGGAGGAGGGGCCTGGGGCAGAGCCAAGGGTCCAGCAACCCCTGGCCAAAGTCTGTCTCCTTGAATAAAAGTACACAGTGACTAGCTGGTGTGGAAAATTTTTAATCAAAGTTTTTCTTATGCCATCTAACCATGGAAGGCAAGTGCAAACGGAAAAGAAAATACACAGATGAAAATCGAGGCTTCCAACAAGAGTGGGAGAATAAGTACATTTTCGTTGAAAGTAATGGTAAGGCCATATATCTCCTTTGCCAGACGCGTATCTCTCAGTTCAAATCTTCGAAATGACGCTGCAAGTTTGCTTCTAGCCATGCACATATGGATCAAGAATTCCCAGAAAGTTCTGAACGCCGCATTTTAAAACTGAAAACTTTGAAAAGCACTATTCTGAAGGCGAGTTTATAAAAATGTGCCTCACTGATGTGATTTCAATCCTGTCACCAAAGAACAAGTATCTACAGAAGAAAATTTCTGGCCTGCAGCTTTCACACCACACAATAGAACGCAGAATCTCCGACCTGAATAGTGACATCGAATCACAACTGCACTTGCAACTTCAGCAGTGAGTATTTGAGCATTGCTTTGGATGAGTCGTGCGATATACAGGATAAACCTCAATTATCGATATTTGTCCGGACTGTGTCTGATGACTGTGTTGTAAGAACTCCTCAATATTGTGCCACTAAAGGACAAAACTCGTGGACGAGATCCAAAGGAAGCACTGATGTTGTTAGTTGCCAAACACCACTTCCCTTTACAGAAGCTCACTGCCATTGCAACAGACGGGGCTCCATCCATGTGAAGATCTGTGAATGGATTAGTAGGGCTTTGTAAGTCTGATGAGAGCTTTCCCGAATTTTGGACATTTCACTGTATTATTCATCGGGAGTAATGGATATCTAAAAATCTCAAATTTGATCATGTCATGAAACCTGTCCTGCACATTGTGAATTTCATTCACTCAAACAGACAATTTCAAAATCTAATCACAGAACTGGACGAAGACAACTTCCCTGCCGATTTGCCATTTCACTGCGCAGTTCGATGGCTCTCAGGAGGTAAAGTTATTTCCTGTTCTTTTGAGCTTCTGGAACCAGTAAAATTGTTTATGGAGAAGCACAGAATATACCCTGGGCTTACAGATCCTAGGTGGGTTCTAGACTTGGCATTTCTTGCAGACATGCTGCTGCATTTGGATAAACTAAACGTGGACTTACAAGGAAAATTCCGGTTGCCGTCTGATCTAGTGCAAAGTGTATTTGCGTTCATGAACAAACTGCAGTTGTTTCACAGACAAATGCTTGAAGGAGAGCTGACACTTTCCCTCAATATCACAACTTCCAGCCAGATCAAAAGAAGATGCAGCAGAACCCCTAAAACGGAGCACAAACTAGATATGCAAGCATGATTAAAAGATCTTAAGGACAGTTTTGAGGACAGATTCCAAGATTTGCAGTGGAAAAAAGACCTCAAATCATATTTCTGATTGACCCTTTTAGTGCTGAAGCCGATTGTCTGAAGATCCCTTTAGTCACTGACGAAGCAACATCCCAGTTGGAAATAACAGAACTTTTGGAAAATGGCAGATTGAAATCTGCCCAGAAGACACAGGGGGACCCTTACTTTCTGGAAATCTGTACCAAAGGATAAATACCCCAACATCAGAAGTGTGGCCCTAAAATTAATCTCAATGTTTGCCTCGACCTATCTTTAGGAGTCTCTTTTCTCGACACTCAAACACGGGAAATCCAAGCACCAATCTGTTTTGACAGACAACCACTTAAGAACTGCTGCGTGTGAGCACAACTGAACACAAACCAAATTTCAAGGGAATTGTTGAAAGCAAAGATTGCCAGAAGTCCCACTAAGTAAAATGTTAAGACAAGTTATTGTTGTTATTGTTAACTATACATTATAAATGCATAATAAATATACATTATCAAATTATATAATGATCATGTGGGTGTATATATATACACACACACACAATCATTACATAATACTGTGGCTCTTTGGCAAAATACATTGGTAAATACTGGCTCCTTCTCAGGCTCAGGTTGGCCACCCCTTACAGCTTTGATCAGCTCCACTATGTGAAGTCTGAGAGGTTAATCACTCCCTGGTGGTGAGGGAAAGAGCTGAGCTAAGCAGGTACAGTTCGTATAAAGGGTCACTTTTTACACAAAATCACATTTTACACAGACAGCTTACAGAAAGGAAGGAAATTCAGAGGAAGTTTGGAAATGATTTCCTTCTGGGTTCAGCACTATGTGCTACTTAAAGATTGCCAGAAATGAAACAGTGATGGTAACCTGCCACAAATGTGCCATGTTTTCTTTCCTGCCTCAAAGAAAATTCTCATAAAGCCTCGAGTCCCCTGACCTGTGGCTGAAGCCCTGAGCCCCAGCACCTTCCCCGAGGCAGAAGCCCAGTGCCCAGTCACATCTTGGGGCTGAAGCCACAAGCCCCGGCGCTCTGAACCACAGGGCAGAAGCCACCCCACAGGACAAAAGCCACAAGCCGTGGTGCTCTGAGCCCCGGTAGAAGCCGCCCCACAGGGATGAAGCCCCGACGTCCATGCAGAAGCTGCCCCAAAACCCAGCACTCCAAAACCCGGCAGAAGTCGCCCCGCAAGGCTGAAGCCCTGCGCCATCTCCCCACCCAAAATGGCAGAAACCCCGAGTCCCCCGCCCTGCGGGGCAAAAGTCTCAAGAAACTCCCTCCCACAGGGTTCCTGAGTCCCTCCCAGCCCCATGGGGCAGAAGCTCCCCTGTGCAGCTGAAGTCCAGAGCCCTCCACCCCCAGAGGCAGAAGCCCCGAGTCCCCCACTCTCCTGAGCCCCACCCAGCCCTTTGGGGCAGAAGCCCCACCCCCACAGCTGAAGCTCAGAGCCACACACACACACACACACACACACACACACTACGT